CTAAGCCCAAGACGGCCTCCGACCACCACATCTCCCACCAGTCCTTCTCTGTTTGTAAACAGCAGGTCGAGCGAGGCACCTCCCCTGGTAGGCTCACTTACCAGCTGTGTCAGGAAGTTGTCTTCCACACACTCCAGGAACCTCCTAGACTGCTTCCTCTCTGCCGTGTTGTATTTCCAGCAGACATCCGGGAAGTTGAAGTCCCCCATGAGAACAAGGGCTAGCGATTGAGAGACTTCTGCCAGCCGCTTGTAGAACGCTTCATCCGCCCCTTCATCCTGGTTGGGTGGTCTATAACAGACTCCCAGCAGGATATCTGCCTCGTTGGCCTTCCCCCTCATCCTTACCCATGAACACTCGACCATATCATCATCACAATTGTTGAGCTCTAGACAATCGAAACACTCCCTAACGTACAGAGACCTGCTACAGTTCTTTAGATTGTTTCAAATCTTCTTTTAACGCGTGCACATACATAAACTGTACTAAGCAACTAACACTTGCTGAAAGCTAAATCATGTCCTGGGGACTGCTGAAAATGTATGTTTGAGACTTTTCTGAAGCAGCTGATAGTGGAATATAGAATCCATCTCCTTTGCCTGCTACAGTTCTTTAGATTGTTTCAAATCTTCTTTTAACGCGTGCACATACATAAACTGTACTAAGCAACTAACACTTGCTGAAAGCTAAATCATGTCCTGGGGACTGCTGAAAATGTATGTTTGAGACTTTTCTGAAGCAGCTGATAGTGGAATATAGAATCCATCTCCTTTGGGATACTCAAAGTTTAAATTAGCACCGGATATAAACTGTGTGATAGCTGTTTATTATCAATAGTCTGAGAAGTACACATCTCCACTGACAAAATCATTTTCCGTGGGGTGGGGGACAGATGGTTGGATGACTTTTTATAGCAACATACACATTTCAGGAGTGAAGTGGTGCAGGGTAGACTTGTTCATTCATGTATTAGGAGATACACATACCTTTTCTGGACTCAATCAGTAGAAGTGCAATTGAGGAAACGATTGGAGGAGAATATGTAAGAAACTTGTCTATTTAAGAAGATGCTCCTGATCCTAAAGGAAAAAGTAAATGTAAAAGGGTTTACTTGATGGCTTGAGCCTGACATATAAGCTTTTAGCTTCATGCTATTGAATTATAGCATCTGTTCTGTTTCCATTTCTACTTGATAGTTTTATCAGTTGCCTTTGCTTGTGCTGGTTGTTGCTAAAGCAGTGATCAAAGGTCAGCAAACAAACTTAATACAGGTACAAGGTGAGTTACAAAGTTATGAAATCTCTTTAATCCCTTTTGAATTTAGAGGTCAACAAGCCAAGAAACCAGCAACTGCAAATGTTCCACCTCTTAGCTTGCACAAATAAGGCAGAGTGTACTAACTGCATCTTTTTAACTTGTTGGTCTTAGTGTTAAGTCTCCATCTCTAATTTCTCACAGTTGGCTTCTATTTGTTACTCCAATTTGTTATTACAGGTGGTTCCACATATTAGGGTATTTCCAGTGCCTCATCCTGCATCTCATCCTGTCTGATGAGGAAGAAGATGCATTGATAGCAGCTGCTGCCTGTGCTAACTGACCTAATCAGCTGGTGCTACTTTTTTAATTTTTCCATTTAGGCTGCAGCATGGCTTTGGTTTTATTCAATGCCTTTATGCATTTTACATTTCTAGCAATGAAGCCTGTATGGCAGCTAGTCTTTTTTTCTCTGTTGTTAGGAGGTTGCGCATTTTGTGTGTTCTGAGGCTGTAAATAAAAGTAGTGGTGTTCCTATGCTATCCTCTGGGTGCAGTGTGTATCCTATGCTCTCACAAAACCTAGGCTGCTAGTGGTAGCTAGAGTTAAGTAATTTTTGGCAAACTTGGGCGAATGGAACTCATCCTCTAGGAAAAGGTTATTCCTGGTCAGGAATTTTGAGAGGTGAATGCCAGAAAAATCTAGTTTTTAGTAAAGATTGCTCTTTCGTTACAGCCTCAGGTTCCAAATGTCTTTACAGGGCTCCTAATCATGTTGCAAAATGCTGCTGCTGTAAGCTTCGGCATCTTTGGTGTGACTCAGCTTGTCCCATTCCAGAGTTTTGGGCCCAGCTTAGGGTGAATATTTTGAGAATAGCTGGCAAATGAGATAAAGCGGAAGTAAAGCCCTTATCAACTGAACAAACAGAGGTAAATAGGGAGGGAAGAAGGGACTATGAAATATTTGTGCTGTCATCAAAGCTGCCTCAAGAGTAAGGGTTCTTCAAATATTTCTCAACTAATTAGGGTGGAGGCTATGTGAGAAGGGAGGAGGAGGGAAAATAAGAAAAGAAAATTACTTTGCTGTGGCTCTGCTTCTGCAAGTGGTTTATGAGGGTGTTTTCCTATTTGTAACTGGAGGTTTGAAAGCCTGCTCACTGGAGATCTGGTATGCTGAGGATTTCTGCATTTGGCTTATGAGAAGGCAGCTATTTTCTAAGTCTTAGTCTCATGATATTAACTGTTTCTTATGTGGTTTTCTTCTGTTAGCCATTTTTTAATGTCTTGTGTAAGTCCTCTTCAGTTGGCTGGGCTACCACTGTGGGTAACGGAAATATTTCAGTTGTCAAGTGCAAGTGTTTTGTCCCTTGGATGTTGTTGCCTTGGATTCTCTGTAATGGTCTAATATGTTGACCTTTTTCTGTTTAGTTAGGAGTATATGTGTTTATTTCTTTCAGTAGTTTAAAGTCACTACTGCTGGCAGTTACCTCTGTGTTAGAACTGGTTTTTGGTAAAGCATAGCAGGATAAATGTTGCTAGATAAATGCAGGTAGTTCAGGTGTCAGGTGTGAAAGGGATGGCTTGCTGCTTATTATTATTGCAGAACACCAGAATTTAGTTTGCAAAGCTAGATTGATGAAAAGGTAAACAAAATCAGAGGCCTTCTTCCAACAATAAAGTAGCTATTTACTCTAAGAAATGGAGAACAAAATTAGTGTTCATTTTCAGTGTTCTTTATAACCAATTTTGTTTGCAATAAACTACTGTCTTTCATACTTTTTGACATGGATTTGTGCTAAAATGGGTATCTTAAACCAATACAGCTGGAAGAAGACTGAAGCGTCCATATTTTCCTCACACCCTCAGTGATATTTTTTTGTTTGTTTCACATATCTTCTTTTGGGTTTTCTGTGTAACTTACAGTTGAATTACTTCTTTTAATCTGTTCTTTTTACTTTTTATTTTCCTAGGGCAACTGTACAAGCTAGAAGGGCTGAAAACCATTGCTGTCACAACCAACGGGATCAACTTAGCCAGACTGCTGCCCCGACTGAAGGAAGCAGGACTGAATGCCATTAACATTAGCCTGGATACTTTGGTCCCAGCTAAATTTGAGTTCATTGTCCGGCGGAAAGGTACAGGCTTGTCTTCTAAGGCAACTGTGTTAATACTTGCAGTTAATGTTGTGAGTTGTTTGGTATGTCTTTCACACTCAGTTATTTTGGGAGGGGGGTGAATCGCTATCCTTCTGAGGCTAGGAGAAGTAGTCTATACTAGCTTATTTGATGGTGACTCTTTTTCCTTCTTTGTACAACCCTTAGCCAGGTAGAGCCCCTTTAATTGGAGCTGGTGGAGTAGAAGATGCTCAACTCACCTCAGTCAATGGGACTGTGGCTACAGCTGCCAGTAACTGTCTGATTACTGGTTAGTCGTGGATATCAAGAGGACTCTCCAAATCTTCTGTTGGTCTCGTGTGCTGCTGTTCTTTAATGCGGTTCAAAAAACAGATGTTCCCGCTATAGCAGCCAGGGACTATGACACCACAAGAACTGAACTTCATGTCACAAATAGCAGCAGTTTCTGGAAGTTATATTTGGGGCATGCTAGCAGCCGTCTTGCTTGTGATTAGTGATGTTCCCTACCTCCACTACGTTTTAATAGGTATAACCATAAACTGTGCCTGAGGTCATTTGAGGAGGGGTGCTAGCTTTGTAACTTCTCTCCGGTTGAGCTAGTAATTCCAAACAAAGCTTCAAAAATGCTTGGATGTGCCCAGTGTTACAGATTCTTGTTTAAATGAATCCTAAAGCTCATTGTGAAGTTCAGCTTCATGACTGGGCTTCTTTCCAACCTAAAACTGATTTGATCTTGTATCATTCTATTTCTGTCCAGTCATGTAACTTTGGCAGTCTGTGAACTTCTAATTCAGACAAAACCTCCAAGTAGCCACTAGATGGTGCAACAATGTAAGATAAATGTAGGGCAAGGGGTGTAGAAATCTGGGATGCTGTGAGAAGTAATTTCAACGTTTGAATCACTCTGTTACCAAATAGAAGTTCTGCTGACAGGTGCAGAAAGGTGTCCTTGTCTACAGTCTCTCTGGGAGCACTTCTTCATGTTTCTACATCATGGTGCAGAAATCTGTTCCCTGTCATAAATCTGACTGGAGCATTATCCTTCCAGCATAGGCTATTGCATTAATCTGGTTGTGTCATGGCACAGTTGGCTCCCAGAGAAGTATCTGGGAGTATTTAATCACAAGCAGATGTTGACTGTGCTCTTTCCTTCTGCTCTCTGCATTTGAATATTACCTGGTTTGTGACATCCACTGGAATCAGGCCCTTCCTTTGCTACTGAAGGGGCAAACCTGATCCTCCAGCTTCCTGAATTATATGGCCACAGCTCTTCATATCTGATTGGAAGCTGTTAGGAATATGCTGCTTATAAAGTAAACTGAAAGTTATTGGGGAATGAGGGTAACTTTTATTTATATAAATGTTCTCTTCCCGTCTTCCCCCTTTAGAGAAAAAAAGGTCTTTAACCACAAAGAGCGAAATTGCTCAGCTGAATAGCATAGAGAATGAACAGGGAAGTTTCTATGACTCAGTATTTTTAAGGAGGAGAATAAAGTCTCCAAATCATAGATAATTTTTTTTAAGTGGACATCAGGTAAAAATAGTAATGCTGAGTTGTTTTTTTTCCTTTTGTTAAGGGCTGAAATTATGTAAAAATACCTTTTTATTGTTTTTGAGGGGTTTTTATTTAATAGGAGATTTCCAAGTATGGAATGAGCAGAGAATAAAGTGCCTGCCCTACTGTGCTACCCTGTCTCCTGTGTCAGTTCCAGAGGCGACAAGATATAGCTCTGTTAAGGTGAGAGGGATTCCTGGTCTTAGACTCCTTCAGGCTGGTAACTTCTGTGGAAAGTAAAGGTGGCATCTGATTATGGAGCTAACCAGGAACTCAGGAAACTTGGAATCAATTTTTCTGCTCCTCTGGAAACTCATTCTAGGGTTTTAAGAAAAGGCTGAAATTTTCTATCTTTGCTTTTTTTCCCAAATGGCTGGGATAGAGGGAATGGCTGTGAGAGGATCAGAGATTTCACTGATGTATGAAAGCACATTAGAGGACCATAATATTTCTACTTCTCCCCATCTACCACATTCTAAGGGATGAACAAATGAAAAGTACTTTCTTGCAGGTAGCCAGTCTAACCTGTTTCACAGCCTGTCCCTTCTTTTTTGTTCAGTACAAGGAAAATGAGATAATATTGTACTGTAATTGAATCATTAAACATTGGCTTGAAGCCTTTGTTCTTGTAAGGATTAAATGTTGGGAGGTGTTGTCCCACATAGGATTGTTCTGGACGTGTCTAAGTTTCTCTGTGCTTTAAAGTTGGTTAAAGTTATGATTTCAGAAGAAATCCAAAAAGATGAAAATACTGAAATCTTTCATTGGATGGAAGAGGAGAAGGGCCGTCATTTTGAAATGTCAAACAAAAACTTGGAGAACTTCTGTGCCTTGCCAATATTTCCTGACACAATGACATAGAATCATAGAATAGTTTGGGTTGGAAGGGACCTTTAAAGTTCATGTAGTCCAGCCCCCCTGCCGTGGGCAGGGACACCTTCAACTAGATCAGGTTGCTCAGAGCCCCCTCCAACCTGATCTGACATCTAGTATTCATTTCTGCTCTAGTATTTTGAAATGTTTTGGTTTTATTCTTTTTGTGGTTCCATTACCACACAAGGACTTTGATCTAGAAGGGATATTTCAATAAGTATGGCAATACAAATGAACTCCTAACAGCTTTCCATAAAGAAAAACCAGAAAACAGTTAACATCAAAATATGAAATGCAGTTACAGATTTTTATTTTTTTACTGTAACAAATTTTTATTTTAAATAATCACCCTGCCCCCAAAATCTTCTAGTGAAAACAAGCTCATAGTTATTGATAATCAGAATAGCTTGTTTGTTTGTTTGTTTGTAGAGATTTTTGATAGCTGTTCTAAGCCACACTCTTGTGCTAGCATGGCAGGAGGTAAGAGGCAGAACTGGGGAGGACATTGAGTTAGATGCATTGCAAGCGGTAATCCTGTTCCATACCTCTACAGCGAGCTGAGCCCATGCATGCAAAAACATGTGGAGTTTTTGATCTGCTGTTTGCTGGCAATTGCTTCCTGGCCTTTTTAGTTAAGTTCAGTTCCACCTTTCTGCAATCCTGAAGTCGCACATAAGGTTTTCTGAGCTGTTGCAGAGCTTTTGATCCCATTCGTGGCTCTGGGATGTGCTTACAGCAGTGTATCATTATCTCTGTTGCCACATTCAGCCTGCGAACTTACTTAATTGGAATGACAGCTACCACTGGTGCTGCAAACTTCCTGGGCGCGTGCAAAACAAGTAGGTGGTGAAGGAGAAGGGTGACAAGTTACAACTTCAAACAGTTGCTTGCAGGAGTTAGTTTACTGTCTTCTCCTTGCGCTTCACCTCTCTTTTTGCAGCCAGGACTAGCATTAGGACCTGCTTATAAAACGGTTATCATCTTCTGCTTTCCTGTGTTCATGCTTTATAATACGTTTACCAGCCAGAAAGCAGTTAAGTGAAAGTTTTGTGTGTCTCTTTTTTTGTTTTTCCTTTTTTTCTGATCTTGAACGTATCCAATATTAAGTATGCACAGAATGTTATTGAGTTATTGCTTATTTCTGGTAAAGCACCTACACATTAATGAAGGTATGATCTCTTCACTAGAGAATCTGAGTTTCCAGTAGATAAGACTTAGGGAAAGGAGAGTGATGGACCTACACAGAAAAACATACAACTAGGAACAGCACGGGGATTGTCAGCACAAACTTCTGCAAGATATTGCCCTTTTGCTAGCATGCATAAAGTATTTGCTGTTGAAGACTACAGCTTCGGAAGAAGGAGCTCGAGCTCATACAGTGTTTGGTCTCTCACACCTGAGTTCAGAGTGCAGAACAGGAGGGGAACTTAGTCTAGTACCTGACAGGGCGGGAGAGACGTTCACAAACACAGGGCTAGCAGCTGAGCATGCCCGCTCACCAGAAATGCGTACCCAGAGCTCGGTAGCTTGCTGTCTCATTCTTGCTATCACCTTGCTTCTCTGCCAGCTGGTGAGTGTGGCAGGGAAGGAATAATATGTCAGATGTAAAATTGATGTCATGATGAAAGGTCTTAACTTTGTTTAAAGTTGACAGAAGGTGTGGTTTGAATGAGATGATTAAGAGGCTTTCCTAAAGGCCTCTGGAATTCCAAAATTGCATTGTTGCTTTATTTTTCTTCCAAATTTAGGAGGTACGTGTAGGGGTGAAGATACTTACCCTAAATTAACTATGTATCTGTGTCTGGCAGCAGCTGACAAGTGTAGGCCACGCTAAATGGTAGGGTGAGGCTGGGCACTTCATTCCTTGAAGTCACTGCAGTTTCTGACATCTTTCATTTGTTTTCAAGGGTCAAAGGCCAACTGAATTGCTTTCCTAAATGCTCTAATCCCCCCCGCATTGTGCTCACCAATTTTACATGTTTAAAGTAGTCATAAAAATGAGGATCCTGTAGAATGCTGCCTGTGATCTTCAAACTAATGGATAGTTAGTAGCTTTGGGAAGCCAATTACATCTGTAGCCAGGGATGAACAGGGAATTGAGGGGCTTTTGTTCCTAACCCCACTCCCCTCCATACACACTTTAGAAAGATCCTTTTAAAATTCACTTAGCAATATTGCTGTCTGACTCAGTACAGTGAGATTCTGCCATTTTAGCGGACACATGTGCCATTATTATCAAACAAATGTTAATTTAGTGTTCTTCATTGCATCTGGAGGCAGTTCACAAATGCTTGCCGCTCCCTTTAAGAACATAACACAAGGCAAAGATGAAGTGCGGGGAAGTGGAGAATCACATGCTAATGATACATGGATGTCCAAAGATGCAGAAAAGCATACCAGTATTTTTGACTACCCATATACCAGTTAAATTTATCTCAGTGACTTGACCACAGTAACACTGGCAGCCTTTTGGGGTGGGGGTGGGGTGGTGTAGCATTGAAGTCTCTTTACTTGCAGCTCTTCTTACTTGCAGCCGTGTCTACTGAATCAGATTGGTTTTTATTCGTCATCTTTTTGTCTTGTACTTAACCTCCTTTTGCATTCTGTTTTTAAACAAGAAAAATAATTTTTTATTCTTTTCATATCTTAGGCTTTCACAAGGTAATGGAAGGAATCTACAAAGCCGCTGAACTTGGCTACTGTCCTGTTAAGGTAAAGCCAGTGTTTATTTACTCTGGAGCTGTTGTGGTTTACCATAAATGGTGATAAAAGATATAGCTCACCTGATGAGGAATTTATTATTTTTCCCCCCTGTGAATAAATTTTGGTAAGACTGAAGAAAAATTTTAGTAGATTGAAGATCACAGCAAGAGGTCATGGGGGAAATTCACATTATCTCCTCATGCAGCTGAGGGTACTGGTTCACTCTGCCACAAAGCCTATTGATTGCCTGGCTGCAGGCTACAGGGTGGTCCTGCTCTATACTTGTCTCTTCCTACCCCCTCTATTGATTTGCCTGACCCAGCTGTGAACTTGGCCAAGGGAGTTAACAGGCAGAAAACTACCCTGCAGAAAGACATTAATTTTCTCCTGGTTTATCTCCTTCAGCTGCTTACAGCAGACTCTGATGAGTGCCAGTGTGAGAGAGAGGGAAAGGGAGTCCTCCTTTGGGGGTGCAGCTAGACCAACTTAGCTGTAACATGAAACTTCACCCTAACTCAGCTGTTTGCAGTTCTGCAGCCGTGGTTCCCTTCAGTTTTACTAACGCTTTGGAAGATGTGTAAGTGTTTTAGGCTATAGAGCTATGAAAAACACTTGAAATTAAATAGGTTTTAGGCTTTCCTGAAAGATCTTGAGAATCATGATGCACGATGCTTGGGCATACAAGTCTGCCTTGCTAACAGGGAGTGTTTTAGCAACTGCACAGCTATCTACTGTTCTTCAGATAAAGCAGAGAGGATCTGAGGCGCCAATGTAAATATGGTTTATGAGGAATGTGTAGGAAAACTCAGTTTTAACCTCTTTTTGGAGGAAGGCAGAGCTAGTCATCCTGCAGTCTATGGTTATGGAGTGTGCTGTGAACACTTCCTGGTCTGGGGCATTTGCCTGTCATCTGCCAAAAAGAGTGCTATAGAAGGTACCCTGCCAGTACTTTTACAGAAGCCATACAACGTAGGACTGGGGAGTGGAATTGTCATTTTAGATAGTAAAAACTGCCATACCTTAGGTGGGTAATAAGATGTTGCCTTTGTTACCTAGCTTCTATTAGTTTTCCATTTAGCAAGGCAACTTTAATAACTTTAGTTAGATTGGATGCAAAAACTTTAAGGCAAGTTTGGCAGAAATGATCATCTGTACCATTTCAATCCTGCCAACTTCTCTCATTGTCTTTTCTTTCAAAAAAAAAAAAAAAAAAGTTCTTTCTATCTACCTTGCCTCCTGCAAGGTAGAAATGAAAGGTATGAAACCTTGTGTAAGAGGGAAGAAAGTCATACTCTGCTCACTAATTTCAGGTGTCTGCTTTTCCTGCAGGTAAACTGTGTGGTGATGCGAGGCCTCAATGAGGACGAACTGCTGGGCTTTGTGGATTTCACGAAGGATCTGCCCCTTGATGTGCGGTTCATAGAATATATGCCCTTTGACGGTAAGTAAAGCAATCTGCTTTGAGATTCTTCATGGAATGGAATGTGCCTTAGACATAGGTGAATCTGGTTGGTGGTTATTCACCTCGTGGACTTGTCTCTGGAAGTTTTGATGAGCTCTTTTGGAGAATTAGGAATTGCCTTAAGTTTTATGTTGTATCTTTTGCACCTTATCTGTCTTCTCTAGATAAACTGGAGAAGGATTAGTAGCAGGATTAGTTGGGGCTGGGACACCTAAGGGAAAACTGAGATTTGTGGAGAATGTAAAGGTGGTTTTCTGCTAATTAAAAAAATAAAATCCACAATCTAAAGTTATGTTGGTTTTGTTAATTCTAGGCAATAAATGGAACTTCAAGAAGATGGTGAGCTACAAAGAAATGCTTGATACAATTAAACAGCGATGGCCTGAATTGGAGAAACTGCCCTGTGAAGCTTCCAGCACAGCCAAGGTAGGGTTAGACAAAGAATATGTGAAATGTGCCCCCATTCTTTCCCTGCCCTAAATCCCCAAATTCTCCCAAGTTCAGCATTTATATTTAACAAACAAAGTAAAAAATACTCAGTGTAGTAACTCTGGGACTTTGGTCAAGCTGCCTGAATGTGGTTTGACTCTTAATAAACACTGGTCGTAGTCTTTACCTTTAGAAATACAGTGTGTTTACTAGATGCCTCAGTCAGATATAAAGAATGGCAGGCTTGTATCCTGTATTTACAGCTTTTGAAACTTTTGTCAGTCTATGTCTGTCTATGACTGCACATTAACAAGCCTGATGAAACAGTTGTTCAGTGAAATAACAGTATTGCTTTAGAGTCTGCAGTGTCACATGGGGGATTTCTAGCCTACATGAATCTACGGCTCGTGGCTGCCTGAGTAAGAACATGCCTACTGGCATCACCTGTCAGTTGATAACTGCAAGAGCAAACATTTAACAAGTTTGTGAATTTCCAGGAGCAGGGCAGAATAGACTGGAACCTCTGACAAAGCTGACTTCGCTTTTTTCTCTCGTGTGACCTTAGAACTGAAGAAAATCTGTGTTGTCTTCTGTCTTTGGGCAAGTCGAGCTTTAAAAATGAGGAGTCTATATTTGACTCTTCTTTTTTTCTCCTTTGCATTTCTTTAGAGTTATAAGGTGCCACATTTCCAGGGACAAATCAGCTTTATCACCTCTATGTCAGAGCATTTCTGTGGATCCTGTAATCGGCTGAGGATAACAGCAGATGGGAACCTAAAGGTTGGTAGTGAAACATGATTCTCTTTGCTTTCATGCAGCGAAAGTAGTGTTGCAATTCTTCCCTTAAAAGTAGCTGGGATGTAAAGTAGGGTAGAAAGACGCATAATTATTACCAGCTAACTCCAGTTTATCTATCCTGTATGTATTCTTGTTCAAGCTTGTTGGGCTGTTAGGGAGATGTTACATCACCTTTTTTCGGTTTCTCTGTTTTGCTAACATGGTTAACTTCAGTTGTAAAACATGGTTGCAAGGCCAGTAAATATAAACATTTATTTTAATCTTTGATTCAAAATCATCTTAAACATGTGACAAGCAGATGATTTCCCATTAAAAAAGGATCCAGGCAGCTGTGAGGACTTGGCTTTTGTGTTCCACAAGGATCCTGTCTTGTTTCACCAAACATCATCTTGCAACTCTTCTTCAAGAGCAGTCTGTACATTTGCTCAACGGCTGTAGAAAAGGGAGGGATAACCGTTTCCTGCCACGTTGAAACTGGCAGTTTCTGGGGGAAAATTAAAGTTTTCAATTAAAAATTGGCACTTACACATTGTCACCTGATATTGACAACAGCTGTGCTGCTGTCTAATGTCAGATGACTGAGGCAGCCTGAAGGCCCAATGGGCTTAGGTTACATAAATGTCCCAGGCTGTCTGTGTTGTGTGTACATGAAGAGAGATAAAGAAAACAATCTCCATAAACATTCTCTCTCTTCAGTAGGATAGGCCTCTTCAAAACTCTTTACTCTGAAGTTAGTACGAAATACTTGTAAAAGCCATTTATTTTATTCTTTCTCATTTCTCCTCTTTTGTCTCCTTGGGTTCGCTGCAGGTGTGCCTTTTTGGGAGTTCAGAAGTGTCCTTGAGAGATCACCTACGGTCAGGTGCCTCAGAGGAAGAGTTGGTTCAAATCATTGGAGCAGCAGTGGGCAGAAAAAAGAAACAGCATGCTGGTATGTTTGTTGTACCTGAGAAATAATAGCAGTTATTAGGGAAAACGGTGTCCTGGTACTGCTGTGGGATGCATTGACTTGCCATGAGAAAGAAGGAAGGAGAAGCTTCCTGAATGAAGCTGCATTAACTAAGGAAAGAATTTTCCCATCTGTTAAGAGTATTGTCTGGTAGAAACCTGGTAACATACCAGTCCTGCAGTTACTCCAAAATTTGGATGTCAATTTTGAGTCTTCTAACCTTCCACATGAGCTAGAATCCAGACCGTCTAAAAGTCTTTCAAGACTGACTTTTATCTTTAAAGAGATGCAAATACCACTGCTCACAATAACAACAGCAAAGTGTAAGCTAAGCAAAAATTGATGGAGTTGTACTGGATCCCTTTTTTCTTAAAATTAATTTGCTGTAAAATAAGTACTAAAGCTGAATTGAGCTGTCGGTCCAACTACTGCATTAACACGTTTCTAGAAGTGACAAACCTCCTTCTGAGTATGCAGAAATCTGTAGCCACTGTTCTAGTGCTCTGCATAAGGTCATGACACAAGGTCCATGATGATGCAGTCACATCCTCAGGCTGTATTAGTCTTTTCTGAATTTATATTGATATAAACTGTATTTCAGTCACATCTGAATCTAACCATATTTTCATCATCTGGCTGCAGCTGGGAATGCTGACCTCTTGTACATGAACTGGCTTCATGATCATGGAATAGTCCCCTTAACACTAAAAATACACTTTGGCCCTTTTGTTCTCTTGCAGATTCTGCCAGATTACTAACAGTTGGTTTTGCCTTTTTTCCATGATTTGTAAAACAAATTTAAAGGAAGCTTTTAAATTTGAGTGTAGGCTAACTTGCAGAGTATATTGGTCTGACCCAGATAAAATAGTGCCTTGTAAACATAAGGGAAGGGGTGGATGGATTGGTTCCTCTTCTTTTAGACCATTCATTTCTGATTTGTAAGGGGAGGGTGGGGGAGAAGAGCGTTTTCCCCTTTAGTAAAGGCATTTTGTCATCAGCAGCATTTACCTGACATTGTCTTTCTCCTCCCAATTTGTGTTAATCCCAATATTGCCTTGTGGCCTTCTGTGATTGGACTTCTTTGAACTGGATCACTGTTAACAGCTTATCCATAGAATTAGTACAGTTAAATGCTATTGTTAGGAACAAGATAGTCCCAAACTGTTTGAATTCTGTAGTAGGTAGACAGTCATTCGGATTATGGAAAGCTTTCTGCGAAAGGGTTCTACAGTGTGACAGACCCATAGCAGCTGGATGCTTGGAGACTGTGGCAGCTATGGTTTTAAATAATACCATGCCAGATTCCCCTCTTCCTCCAGCTCCCTTGGTCTTTATTGAGCTTTGGTTTTCCTAGCATGCAGGTTGCACTGTGAAGAGCAGAAAACTAAATATATAAACCAGATGCATGACTGACTGACTTAAAACTTAAAAAGCTAGGATTTTTATGTGTTCCTTATTTTATTTCTAGGCATGTTTAACATTTCCCAGATGAAAAACCGGCCAATGATCCTGATTGGTGGGTGACAAATCAGTACGTAATAAACATACCATGATTTTGTTTGGGTTTTGTCTGTGGGGGAGGAGAGTGGATTGGGCTTTTAAGTCTAACTTGTGTTTGGTTCTGGCTTAGGTTTAAGGCAAAGAAATGGGTTTCTTAAAAGGCAGTTGTGGTTAAAACTATGCTGAAGTGGAAGAGGAGGAAAGGTTTAATGTCCCTATCAAGCCTTACCCAATCTTCTGATTGACAGCACTGTTATTGTTTTCTCTAATTTTGAAAGTTCATTACATTTTCCAATGTATAGAGCCAGTAACCTGACAGAAATGCAAGTTGTCCCACCTCACTACTTCTTTACTTCAGAATCTGAAACTTGAGGTTTCATTCTTTTGAAATGTTCTCTTACTGCTGCAAAGTCTCAGAATATAACCATGAAAACTGTAGTATCTGGTATCTGGCCAGCCTTATGGGCAAGAGCCTTTCTTCTTGTTTTGTCTATTGAAGTTGTTTGCGAACTCTCCCTTCTGCTTGAAGCTCTGTCCATGAGTGGTGTGGCACTGCTGGGGTTCTCTTACTGATTTTTCACATCTCCTTCAGTGTGGTTTTACCCCTCTTCCATGCCTACGTTTCCCTCTTTTGTAAGAAAGATAGCTATCTTCCCAAATACCTTTTTTCTTCCATAGACTTAAGAAATGTTTGCAAGAGTTAGTATTGTGAGATTAATTGGAAGTTGTTCTGTTGGTTGTTGTCAACAACAGGGGAAAAAAATGCAGCAAGGGTGGAAGAGATGAACATTATGTTTCAAATGCAAACTCTGATCCTCCCAGTGATGCTCTGGAGCAGGCTAGCTGCTGTGCAGCTTAAAACACAGCTTTTTAAAACGGGTACCCTTGAGGAGGGTAACATGCATTAATTTGCAGGTCTTTGCTACAGGTGATATAATAACTGGTCTTTTTTTTAAACCAAGACACTAGTGCTTGTACTTCTGTTGCCTTTATTAGGAAATAGGATCTACAGAAGTCCTTTAACATAGGTTTTCATTGGGAATATTTTTCACTTGATGCCCCCCCTTTAAAAGGCCATCATTTTCCATGTTGACTTTTGAAGTGAATGGATTCTGTGGTGCAAGACTGTCTCTCTCAGCTTGCTTTTGCTCTTTTGTATTTGGCCACTGCTGCACTGTGTTCCAGGAAAAGGGGAAAGAGGATCCTTTGTTTAAAGTCTGTATTGACTTGCTGCATGAGGAAAAATTTTCTGTTTGTTTGGGGTTTTTTTTAAGATTAAAAATACTATATTAAACTCTTGACAGCTCACTGGGACCTACATAGTTTTTCAAGATGCCTTTGAAAGAATCTCCACACTCCAAAGTTAGCATTCATAGCAATTCATAACAATGTTACAATGTCTACAGATCAGATCCATCTAATTTCCTTTTGAAAAGTGCTTTAACATTGTCTGACATATAGTAAAAGAGGCAGCCTGTCCAGGTCCTCCCGCAGCTGCTCCATGTCCCTTCCAGACTAAGTGCTGGTAGTCACTGCATCAGTGAAGAGACTGGAGATGAGTGGAGAGTATCCCACTGTGACACATGGGGAATCATTAGGAGATTTCCTAATTGTGTTTTGAATTACTTACAAACTTCAAATAATGCTGGTGTGCAAGCAGTCAGTGGGGGTGGGTGTGTATGGAATTAATTTAATGAAACTTACTTAATGAATGTTGTGGAAATCACTAATAGGTTTTGCTAGTCCCAGTAAGCCAAACCTGGCTTCTTCCCTGCACTGCTGTTGTCTGATCCTTTGCTATATGGTTTGTATTCTATTTCCCTTAATCAAAATATTCCTTTTGGCAGGTTGTTCTCCTCATGGGTTCACTTCTTCAGTTATGGGAATTTCCTCCTCCATTTAAGCATCTCCTGCCTTCTTTTCCCCCCACCCTGAGATTGTGCTAGTTGGAAGCTAGCACAATTAAACTTCAGGTGCAGTAATAGAATATAAGGAGATGCAGTTTGTCAGATGGTTTCAGTTGTTATATATAGTGCTGTAGAAAACCATTATCTATTTTTTTTGCAGGTATATGAGCAATTGGGGTGAAGATAGAGATGACTAGGTACAGCTTGAAGAAAATTTAGGTTGTTAGGAAAAGCAAAGATGCTTTGCATGCATTTACTGTCTGTTGCTGTCTTTTTACTTATCACTCTACTTGAGCAAACACTACTTCTCTTCCTTGCTCCCACCCATGTGTGTTTACCCTGTGGAAGTAAGTACTTGTCTGCCTTTGCAGTCTAGCTTCTCCTGAAGACAAGACATCTTGCCAGGGGTTTAGCTTCAGCTTTAAAGCTAATCAAGGAATCCAGAAGAAGTACTTTGAGTTCCTGAATTTTAAAAGGAATATTCAGGTTAGTCCCCACTGTATAAAGAGAGAGGGGAAAGAAAGGAGGAATAAGCACAATTTTCTGTGCTCTTCTAATGCAGAGCAATGTTGCACTCAAAACATTTATGTCCATTTAATCCCATTCCTCTGAGGGTAAACGCATTACTACTAAACTTGCAGGAATCTTAATTTTAGTGGATAGGCCATAAGCTGTAGATCAAAAAGGGCCTTTGCCTAAACTTAGATTATTGCAGTGACTAAAAAAAAAAAATCATGAAATCTATGGTTGATTTAAACTTCAGTAATGGGCACTTTCAGACCAATGTTTGGAGGGTACTCTGAATGAAAAAGGTGCTAAGTTCATCAGTCTCGTTATAGCAGAGGTTGAGACTAATGAGGAAGAGATTGGTTGGTTTGTTTTTAAAAGAAGAGGGCGGGGGGGCACAACCAATGCTTTGTCCACACTGTGTCTGTTATTGTCACGTGGATGGTCCAAGGTGATACCTGTAGGTCTGGGCAGCAGAGATAGCTCAGCAAAGTGCAGAGGGGCCAGGATGTTGCTTTGATTCACCTGTGGGCAGTCTGAAAACTCATGAGTGAGGGTGTCCCTGAATACCAGAGCTACCAAAGGAGGTTACTGAGCAAAACCCAATTCCAAGTTTCTCAAAGCAGAGCAAAGAGAACAGGAGCACCAGAAAAAGAGAAACATGATTATCAATGAGGCTATTAAACTAGGGCTGAGCCACTTACCTCTATACTGCTTTCTCTTTAGTTACTTACAAAACAAATCACTTCTTTTACGTGAAAAAGACTCCTCCTGTCTTGACACTTGGCATTTAGCCCTGTGCAAATGCCAAAACCGAGGGATTAAATGGTGAAAAGGGGCAGGAGGGCTTACTACCTCTCTGCCAGCTGGGAGCTCTGCCAGCTCGACTTGGAACATACTTCTGAGTAGATTTAAAATCTATCTGTCAATGAGGGGAGCGTGGTTTTTCCAGTGCTTAAACTTCAGCTGTCATTAATGTGGTAAGAGCTGGCAGTAACAAGTGAGGTTCCCATCACAGAGCCACCCTCTGAGCTTGTAGGCAGTGCAGTTGCAGATGTGGTGCTTCTGGTCCCTGCTGTCCTCAAGTGCTGGCATGACCCTTCCCTGCAGAAGGAGATGAAAGCAGGAAGTGCAGCCGCCTGTGCTGGGAGGAAAGGTGTTTGGAAAGGCAGAGTTGAGAATCTGAGTGCAAGAATTTCCTATTAACCCTGCCAGGCTTTCAAAAGAAGACTGGTGCTGGGACAATCTCAAATGGATGTGGAGATGCTGTGACTTGCTTTTTGTCAGAACTGATGTTCCTATAAGCTTTCTCAGCTGCTGTTTCTCAATAAGTGTTGATACTTTTTGAAAGCAAGTTGTTTCTTCTTGTCAGGGACCTTGAAATCAGTGTTTTGAGTCTCGGGGTTTGTAGTAACAAACCAACAAATGCAGGGAACTGATGAGAGAGAAGAGAAAGAGCTTGAGGAGAAAAGTGGATGTTCACAGGCTTATTGAGGTTTTTGCAATACATAAAGTCCCAAGCAGTGCTCTGACAGGGTTTTCAGCTACTGCAGACTTAGCTTAGCTTTCCAGTTAGTAAGATGTATTCTCATGTAACTTTCTTTTTTTTCCCCAGAGCCTGTATTGATGTCATTCCCACTGCACCAAGATGCCCTACAGAATCCCCCAAATTCAAAACAGTGGGGCCACACATCTAGCCGTTGGCTGACTTTGAGAGCAAGTTTACCCAAACAAATGGGAAAAGCATTAATGAAAAATAAGCTTACAGGACTTTTCCTGCCAGGATCTCGCCCAGATCAACAGTGGCACATAACGACAGGACTTCTACAAACCCAGCTCAGAGGCTGCTGTGTCTTCCAGAAGAACCCAAGCTCCACGTTTGACACAAAGTGCCTTGAGGCTTCTCCTGTTGGCCAAGTTTCTGTGGACTGTCAGTCCAAAGAGGCAAGTCAAGGATCCGAATTCTGTACCAGGGATTCAGAGTCTTGCACTGAGGTACCTCATGTGTCTGACAACTTGACTCACACGGATGAGGAAGGACGGGCCACAATGGTAGATGTTGGAGGGAAGCCAGATTCAAGAAGAAGTGCTGTTGCTGGTGCTGTGGTCCACCTGGGTGAGAAGGCATTTGGGATGGTGAAGCAGAACCAGGTGAAGAAAGGGGATGTGCTCACAGTAGCCCAGATTGCAGGAATTCAGGGAGCCAAGCTGACCAGCCAGTTGATCCCATTGTGTCACAACATCCCCCTCAACCATGTTGAGGTGTCTCTGAGCCTGGATGAGGCCAGAAATGCAGTGGTGATTCGCAGCTCCTGTGAGACCTGGGGGAAGACAGGTGTGGAGATGGAAGCTCTAACAGCTGCCAGCCTGGCTGCCCTGACTGTGTATGACATGTGCAAAGCAGTTACTCATGACATTGTGATCGAAGAGGTGAAGTTGCTTAGTAAGACAGGTGGCCAGAGGGGAGACTTCTCAAGGGTCTAGATCATATCCAGACACCTCCAGCCCTCTCCAGGTGACCACTGCTCATGTTCAGCCTCTTACAGAACTCCTTTTGCTCAGCCAATACCTTCATTTCAGTGTCCTCACCAAGAGCTTGAGCAAAGATTCCTAGTTATAACACAGAGGTGGGGTTTTTGGTTTTTTTTTTTCCCCTTGCTGTGAAATATTCGCAGCTGCTGTCATCACACCATGCAACTGTGAGCTCTGGAAATTAAGCAAGTGCTGAAAGTGCTGTTATTTGGCAACTATTTTTAAGTCAAGGATTAAGATTTCAGAATTGTGTCTGTCTCCCTTAGTTGAATTTAGAAGGTGACAGTGAGAAGAACATGGCTTGGGAACCTTACCATACAGCAGAGATTATAACTGTGGAACAGCCAGTGTCAGAGGGGCAGCTCCCATCCCTTTGCATTGCTACTGCTTCCCTTGCCTGCAAGTGGGAAATAGCCACATACCAGTTTCAAAAGAAAAAAAAAAGATGGCAGCTGCCCAGCTCTCTGCCTTGAGCGCACTGTAAAACATGATGTAGAAACAGAGGATTTCGGGGCTTGGAAGAATTATTTTGCTGATCTGAAAGATACCTTTTACAATGTCAGAAGCATGCTCCAGCATTTTGACCTTAGCACTCAATACTTTGAGGCCTTGTGTCTGCATGCTTAAGGGCTTAATTATGCCATGCATGGAAGTAGGTGTCAACTCTTCCTGACTTTAGAAGTAGATGTCACACCAAGCCTCAGAAGACTCCACGTTTTTTAATCCTACAGTGCAACTCCTAGTAAGCAGCAGCCTGCATAGTCCTGACAGATAAAACAAACTTTAAGACTAGTAGCCACTTGGAAGAGTAAGGTAGTTACTGTTGCCTCAGCCAGAGTGTTTTCCTGTGTGTTTCTCTAATTTGCTTTCATGAAGTCTTCTGGCCTCAGAGCACTGAAGTGTCCCCATAAACGTACCAGTGGCCACTGTCATGTAGCATTAAATAGCTTTGATAATGGACGATCCTAGATAAGAAATTACTCAATGTTGTTTTGTTAATACTGATAGATCCTTTTCAAATGTTAATTTAAATGCTTTAAACAGGGTATTTTCAACTTTGGTTTGCTTGTTCTCTAGTGCTTATGGCTAATGTGAAGTCACGTATGATTCAGGGTGCTCCCTCTCCACATGCACAGAGAGTTGAAGACAGTTCTAATAACATCAAAGAGGCTACTGAAAAGTGTCTTAAACTTAATAAGGTTAAATTACCGTGAGCATCAGTAAAGCACACACCACACTGTCACACACATCCTGCTCACTTAAAAGTAAGCACGGGTCTAAGATGAGGAGGCAATAGGTTTTACTACAACTGTCTTTGCTTATCCTTTACATATCTCATACACTAGTTACCACGGAAGGTACTTTTTCCATTGAAGGTGAATTAATTTGCTGCTTTATTCATTGTCACTGTGAGGTAAGGCACATACAGTGACCCACATAGCAGCTACAGCTGAAAGGGGAAGGAGTCTGGAAAGCTTGGTGCCCAAGCTCCATAAACATTTGTACACCTACATTCAGTGTTATAGTCCTGAATCTGTCTGTAAGTTAATAGTAGGGGCACTCCTGTTCCTTCCCAGGAGTGTACCTAGCACTGCCACACTAAGCACCAATCCCAGCCAACCCTGCAAATACAAGAGACCTTGTTCATGGGTGGAGCTGCTGTGCCAATAACGCAAACGTTTCCCCAGCTCAGCATGGAAACAAATTGCCAGGAAAAGGAAGCACATGTGTAAACTGCTAAGATAACTGATTTACACAAGCACTTAAGTCCCCCCACCATGCACAACACACCCTGCCCTCCCTGCCTTCACCCAGTCTCTAAATAGTTTTGAAAACTAAAGAGGAAACTAGACATACTCAGTAGTAATAAAATGATGCTTTGGGGCATATGATTCTTTGGCTTCTGAGAAGTTTGCTGTCATGCTGTAAAGCTCCCACAAAGGATTCAAGACCATACAAGGGACTACAGAGCACATGCATGACTGCCACGCACATCTTACTACTTACGCACATTTCACTACTTTCTTGGGTTGAGAGTGGCTGGAAGCTTTGGGCAAACAGGCTTTGGTGCCATTTTACGCACATGTTACATTATCAAGTCTTGAAACTATGCACATTTATAGATAGATAATGAACCAAGCATGAGTCAACAGGACATTTTGCAAGAGAAATGAGCTGATGGCACTCTATGTTTCAGCAGTGCTGGGTGGGCAATGGTGTAATACATGTTGATGAACTGACTACTTTTTGGAGGCTTGCTTTTTTTGTCCACTGCATTTTTAATAAATACCAGTTGTAATGGAGTATGTTTCACATTACTTTGAATACCCTTTTTACTCATTCAAAGGAATATCTATGTTTTAATCCACGAGCTTCTATGAATAGTTAACTCAGGACAAGCAACAAGACAGCCTTTATAAGTTACAATGATTAGTCAGCAATTAGCAAGGGATCAGTCACAATAAATTATAACTATAAGGAATCTATAATTTCTTTTTTTTGTTGAGTGAAACTCACCTCTATCTGGCTGTTCTGAATCTGAGCAATCCTGTAGGTTTAGCATCATAATTTATCATCTCCCATCATTATCCCAGCTTCTCCCACATGCCTATTCTGAGTCAGTGGGTGTGTGTAACAGCGCTGCTTTGTGCTGCAGAGTAACATAAGGAACTGGTGCCTCTAGAGCTCTCCCTCTTAGTCTGAGTGACTATGCACTGAAACTGAGGTCCGGGGAAGTACCTGTATGGAAGTCCCTTCCTCCTGAATCATGAATAAGTCTAAGGGAAATTCCCCTCCTGATCCATCTGAGCTTCCAGGAAAGCTCTCACCTCTTCTGCTATCGAGAAGGCCTGTTCCTACCTGAGGAAGTTTAGTTGGTTGAGCTGTTCACTGTAATCAGCCCCACGGGAAGCCAAGGCCCCAGTGCAGGGGCAGAGCAGCAGGTGCTCTGCAAGAGGGCAGAGACAGCACCTGTGCTGCCAGAGGGTCTCTCTCTCTCTCTTTCCAGGTACAGCCTCCAAATGCTGCTGATCCTGGGACAATAACACAAAGCTTTACATCCTTTTTTCTGATTTGGAACTAGGTTTTTAAAGATTCAACCAAAAGAAACAGTATAAAGCACTGAGCCCACCACCTCCTTCTTCTGAAGGGTTCCGTAAGAGCACAAGCCGCACCTCTAACACTGCGTGCCAAACACAACATGAATGCAAATATTGCAGATCATGGCAGCCCTCACAACGTATGTGCAGTATAGCTTTTGCCTGCTGGAAGCTCTCACTTGTCCCAGCTAATGTCCCATTTGTGTGTTATTGTCTGTTCACTGCTAATCCAGCCTGCGTCTTTTGTGGCAGCTTGGCCTGTCCTTCCTTCATGGCCACATCCTGAGGCTAGTTACCCCACCCTCAGACTGCCCTGGAAAAAATTGGATGCAACATATAAAGGAGAAGCCAGCAGAAGCTAGTCACTAAGTATTCTTAAAGAGATTAAATCTATGTCAAAGAGAGCAGTGCTTTCAGAAAGTGCTGGGGGAAGAAGAGTGGGGAATAGAAGGAAAATGCAGCTTGAAATACCTTAGGAAGGGACCTCTTCTTCCTAATGGGAACCACTCAAAAACCAGACTCTAAAAGCAGCGACAGCTGAGTACTAAAAAGGGGAATGAATTTTTTAGCTATTCTGCGCCACTGGTGACCTGCGGTAATTCTCCTTAAGTCGCTGATGTTACTCAGCTTTACGTGGGATTTGACTGAACAGAATCTGGCCCTTCATCCCAACCCTTCCTTGGCCCTTCACTAGTTTACAGCTCCTTCTGGCTGGCTCAGCAGCAGTTATGCAGGCATGTAACAGCTTAAAAATGGCTGTAACATTGTGTGTGCTTTGGCCAGGACACAGGACTGCTAATTAGTTAAATGGAAACACAGTTCACTTCCCTCCACTTACTAGAGCCTTGCTCCAAGAGAAGCTTAGCATTTCAGGGAACCTAAAAACAGTTGGAGGAGTTGCTGGTTGCAGCAGGCTGACTAGGCTTTCACTTTTTTGAGATTTCAGGCTAAAGCCTCAACTTAGGTCTCAAAAACCGGTGGAACTGAGGAGCACTGCAAAGCTGTGATGATGGCAGGCAAACCTCTGACATGTCTGGCACGCTCCCTGGAAAGGCACAGGGTGGAGTGGCCAAATCCTTTTTCATAGGCTAGGCCTGAAGGGCTTTGGGTGAGCTCAGTGCACCCTGTCATAAAAGCAGATTCTCATTTTGGTCACAACAAGCTTATACAGTGGTAGCTGAGACACAAATCCAGCTATCTCTACTTTCCTCTGTCCCTCCACACTGCCAGTGCCATGTTTAGAAAGCTTTCAGTTTAGCATCTCTATTTTTGTACTTATCCTATTTGCTCCTTTGGGGAGCGAAGGGTACTCAAAATAACAGTGGTGAAGTGCAGCTGAGTGCAAGTTTACCCGAAGGGCCCGATGCCCCCAGACACTGCTGAGCCTTGCTCTGAGCAGGGCTGCACAACAAACGGCATTGCTCAGCTTCACATTCACAGCCGGACTGCCAATGGCATGGCCA